TATTGGCCAATATGAATGGTAGGAAGTATTAATAGAAGTGTTCGAAGTTAAGTCGAACAGGAATAGCAAATAGATGCTTGGTAGCGGTGTTTTCCAGGTTGAAAAGCAACCTTGACCCACTGAAGCGGCCACGTGGAGTTGGGTCAAGCTACACCGATTGATCGGATAATTGTCTGTTAAATTATCTCTTAGAACTGAAGATTACAGTGATTCAAAATTCATAATCAGCATTTACATTCTGGTAAATTGAAACAAATTCAGGTAATCACAGGATTATGAACAACCACAACTTCCTTATTGATGGAAGTGTTTGAAAAAACATGACGGACCTTTTATATCCATATGATACATTGACCGACAGTATGTACCATGGTTTAACAAAAAGACCGCCGAATTTCCAGCGAACATTCGAACGGAACAACTTTTTATTCTCTAGAAAGTTTCCGAGGCACTTTGGACGGAAATGGAGTATCAATAAGTATCAGGATGAAGGAAGAAGAAAAACATGCTCCCTTTCGAGTTGTTTATGCTCGATCGCGAAATCGATCTGCCATACTTTCGCCGGGGACACTTGCCAGAAATCTTAAGCGTTCCTCGTTTATTCGGTCGAGATTCCTTGTTAACTGTTAATCCAAGCCACTCGAGATCAAAGAGAGAATCAGAGACAGAGAAACGACCCCCTACTGTTAGCATACATAGAGTAAACCATACAATGATTGACAAAAAAGAAAGAATGATCATTGACACACTTGACGTGGTAGTTGACATTCCGTGTACCAAGAATTGACACGTAGATGACTTTATGTTAATTTCATAAATGAATGATGAAATCCTTAAAATATTCGCCCCCATACAATCTTTTCTTTGACAACTTTAAATCTTTACTAAAATTGGGATGTTCCAATCATTCCTTGCACGTATCTAATTATCAGAGATCATCGATTCGATTAAATCGATGGTTGCTATTGATCTCGTGGTTGCGTTTAAGACTTACAAAGTGAAACGAGATGCTACTCGAAACGAATGGGATCTCCCAAGAGCATCCATTAAGCTGACAAATGAATGACTGATGAACTCGTGTACAGTGAATATTAAATTGATCGATACGATCGTAGAAAGGCTACGAGATATAAAATCGAAAATTTCTAGTAATTAACAGGTTGATTGCCGCAGGGGTCATCGATGACTGACGCTTAGAATCATATAAGTACATCCAAGGAAGTTGTGAATAAAATCGTTATAAAAATTAATTATTTTAATGCATAACTAGTTTAAATTTTTGTTAAATTTTTGAGATATATGTCCTAGATTTCTAGATCCAAGAATGCTACTGGGAGTTGCGAGTGCTGTTGCACGTTAATTGAGACGATCAAATGTTCCTAATCCAACAGATAGTTACAAGGTGCGTCACCAGTTGGGAAAAAACGATCAAAAATTGTTTATTTGATTATGTCCCCGCGCAGCGTGCTCCTTTCCTCGACGAATTATATAGTTGGCAACGCTAGTTAACGCACACGCACCTGCACTGGCGATCGTGAGTGATAATCGTAGAGTAGGTCAGCGGAACAGCGCCTCTAGCAATCAACGTTCTTCGACTTCTCGGCTTTTATGTGTGCACGGGATACTCGTGCCACGTACACAAAATCATCCACTTGTACGTGGCTGAGCGCGGATAAAGGTATGGCGAACCGTGTGTGACAAGAAACGAGTCAGGATACCTGGTGAGATGTCGTCTGGACGAAACATTCGTCGACTTTTACTCGCCTTCTTTGATTCCACGAGAATTTAATAGTTGTTTAACAATGTTGATTGAATTTTTTAATCCATCACCCGGGACTTTCTTGTTCTTCCATGAAACTTATTCGACATCTTTGAGAGCTGTTATTTTTCTAATTGTATCTCGAACCAGTGGTCCCCGCCTTAAACGTGTTAAACCAAGGAATTAGATCACTTAACGTTTTCGCGAATGAATCAATTTCACGTGTGTAATCTGTGGTTCCACAAATTGCAACCACATCACGGTCACTGATCCTATCCAGATGATCACTGACTTGAAATACTGTACACATTGAAATGGAATTTTTTAATTGAGCCTTACGAAGAATTTTATGAATCTGGGCGATAATACATGGCGCGTATCACTGGCCGAGCTAGATGGTTAACGAATCTTTTACAATCCTGAATTCTCTAACGTTTATTTACCTACTTTTTAGTATCATTAGAAATGAAAATAAATTCTTTGAATGCTCACATTTCATTAATTAAAAAACTGCATACCATTGAAGTGAATAAGAAGAAAAGGAAGAAAGCGAAATAAACAATCATTAGTTGAAAAACTGTCCACAATAGATCATGAAAAAAATGTAGGAATCAATTGAGAATGATAATCGACCGGATGGGTGGAGTCAGGTGAGAGGTGCAGAAGAGCATAGAAAGTCCGTATCATGAAGTTGCATTCCATAAAGAATGGAAAGTCGATGAATAATTCTTTTCCTTTGTTTTTCTCTTATTTCTGCGAATTATCGCCAAGCACTGAAGCGATTTCTTGTCGCATCTTTTTTTTCCGTTAGAGACAGATTGCATATTCTCGATCAGAAAGATCACCAAGAGTACGACGACCGACGACTGGGCTAGATTAAGGCAACCAGGTCACGTGCCACTGATGGCAATGGTATCGTTCCTCATGAACCATTCCACCAGGAATCAACACCATGGATACTGATTTTTTTCAAGACAACGACACTTCTTAACCCTTCTTCGGATTCGGAGTAGATTTGAGATCAAATAAGTTAATTCCAAAAGCTAAATTCCAGAAATATTAAAAAGGAAGCATATAAAATGACAGAGATTCCAAAAAATCATAGTGATTACCTAATTTCAGTTTTCTAACATTATCTAGCCGATTTCTAATGTCAAAGGTGAAACGTTACGTTGACACGAGGCTTGCTTCAAGAATCTATATAGGTACATACAAGAAAGTCTTAAAGCAATTACCATCTTGCACGTAGATCGTCTATAATTAATCGAGGAAATTGTGTCGGGAATAGTGCCAAGCAAAACACACGGAATCAACAACGTGAGAATGACCGTCCCAAGGACGAGGACGGTCATTAATCATAACATCAGTACGGTAGTAACAGGAGGCTCGAATATCACCATAAGTAGTGATGGGCTAAAGTACTTCGCAAGTACAGTAGCTTACAGATAAAATGGTACTACTTAACATGTCATTAGAAACGCTCTTGATCGCACATATCCCACTTTCTCTGTTACCTAGCAAATCAATTAATGCATATATCTATTTCATGCGGAAAGTCTGCATGATTAGTGATGATGATGATGATGATGATGATATTGAACTTAAGCCCATTACTAACCATAGGTAGAATCGAGACCAGGAATATTGGTTGCGCGTACGCGCACACTCCAACCTTCTACAATTAGAAATACAAGTTATGTATCTACTTAAATATCGACAAATATTTATAAATACTTTTAGATAAATAGCTAGAGTACTTTGTTTAAAACAGTCATTTGTAGGTGAAACGCATGAGACTGAAAGCAATTCGAGATTGTCTTGTTGAACTAAAACACTAATTAACCCATTTCTATGGAGATTGCCGGTTCAGATTATCTTTAAATGTAACTTGCAATTGTTCCAAATGCAAAACAATGATACACAGGGTGTCCCACTTAGTTTAAGCAAAAGTTTTTTTCATCATTATTTTGCTTTATTATGCACCATTTAGAGAAACATGCAACTCGATTTATTTCTCTCCTTCGTGTTATGGTATGCAATTACCGAGGACGAAGGATGCTGTGTGCAAAGATCCATTCTGGATTCTGATCCAGTCGGCACATGGGTCCCTTGCTTGTCGACGGAGCTAGCTTTCACCTGAACAAGACTCTGTTGTCCATCTAGTGGGACTGGAAGGGTTTCATGTAGGAGTAGTGATTTTAGCTAGGCTAGGAGAGATATCACTAAAGCAAACTCTAGGACAGTACTGATTTACAGGGTCCATAAGGACGGTTGGTCAATCTCGACCAGGTTGGTCCTACAGCCGATAGGTATACTGGGTTAACAAGGAAGATGTTGAAGTAACAATCGTCAGAACGTGTCCTAAATTGGAAAGCGGACTCCCATCTATTTGACTCTTGCCTCTTCTGATTGTTGCTCGCTATTGTCGTTAAAATCTTCTAATTTGAATAAAACACTCGGCTCTTTGAGTGACATAAAACATAACTCCCATTAACACTTCCACGTAAAGTGAAAGGAACTTCGGAATGTAAATATGTATAGTTGAATCAAAGATCGGAATAAGATGACACAAGTAGCCTATTGTTGACGCGATTACCTGACCAAGAAATCAACGGAATTCAAACCTCCTGAGAGGTATGCTTGGCAACAATACCACGTGTTGTGTACACAGCGGTTATGTCTATTTCCGTCATTTCAGGTATCACTACTTTCCCCACTTGCGACAGTTGATCGTATTTACGATTCGTCCGTAAGGCTGACACGGTGTATTCCAAACAGTACGATCGAACGGCGGTCATGCACGGTTCCTTCGTTCTGCCTCGAACACGCAACGCAAACACGCACCCGTACAGTGACAATTGAACGTGCAAAGTACGTGCACTTGCGGTGCTTCGAAATCGGGACGAAGTCTGATGGTAGCATACGCACGATTCAACAGTTACGAACGCGTCGTTGACGAAGTATAAATAGTGATCCTATACTATACAGGAAGAAAAGAGATAAAAAATAAACGGAGAAGAAGAGTCACGAGCTTATCGTTAGAGTGCGTGCTGGTCGGTAGGCTCGATTACGATTAAGTAATAACAGCAAAGACAACACGCGGATTGATAGTCGCATAGTAACGTTCGGAGCATCGAAGACGCCTTCGGGTGACGCAACTATTTGAATTTCCCGCCTTGAACAGAGAGCGCCAATCGTCGGACACGTTGAATTGTAGGCGCGTAAACGCCAATCGTCCGTGATGCTGCACACGAGGACGTTCGCCGTCGCTGCAGCATCGCCTCTACTCGTCGAAAATGTCTTGCCATCGTGGTTGCCTCGTGTATTTGGCAGCCATTTTGTGTTCACGCGCTCCATAGGTGATCGTGCCATAAACCGTGGCCACATATCGCGCCAAACCATGTACGAAAATTATCAGAAGATGCGGCGAAAGTACGAGTGTGAGTATTAACACTGGTTGCAGCCATTTTTCATCTCGATCTCCTTCTCGCGCATGCTGTTATCAGTATGTTCCGTCTCGGTCAACCTCGTGCACCGTCTGCCGCGTCGTTTGAGCTCGAGCATGCGCACGATACCACTTAAGCACCTTAATATTTTGAATCGATGCCAGTGGCGCGGGACCTTGATAGCCGTGTACCCGCGCGGAAATTATAATTGATGTGTCAATGAATCCCCCCTTTGCCAGGAAGCGTTCGATCTACGTTCAATCTTAAAGGCGAGCCAATCGTCTATCAACAGTTCATCGAAACATGTTTGCATATCTGTTGCGCCAATACGACATTGTCATTTATCGCTTCGTTCTGGCGAATTCCCAAAATTTGCAACTCGATACGTTGTATCTGTCGAGATTGATCGATTTAATTTCCATCGTAACTACCTTTGGTGTCACTTTAAAACTGTCTACTTTTCAATGAGTTGGAATTTTCTTCCTTACTTCATAACACCGCTTTATTTATACAATATTTACACAAATGGTCGCATAATACAATTAAACCTGTTTGAAGATAAGCTTATCATCAGCTTTTAACAATATCTTTAAATAGATCAAAGTGCAAAATATTGAATATCAAGGAATAAAAAAGAAAGTTGAAAAAAGCAGCTCCTATCACTTAGAACTGAACAATCTCTAGGATTATTCTTTAGATATAACTCATCTATACTTCGAGATATGAGTAACAGAATTTTACAGTGAAATTACATCTCCGAATACTAAACGATGTTCAATGAAATAATCAAAGGAAAGTTTGTGTATCAGAAATTTATATCTAGAGCTAATTAGCAAGAGGGAGAGACGAGACTAACGGACAAGCAGAAAAATCTAGGACGGTGAAAAGCATCTGGTATCTGGCATCTGCGGAACAAAACGGGAGCGCAGACTTATCATGAATCGAAGTCGAAAGAATAGTACAACTACGCGTTATCCCGCTATGTTACTGAAAACTTCTCGTACAAGATCATGTGTGAAGTCACGTGTATACAAGGTGTCCTCGTGCTAACTTCTAATAGTCCCGTTATCTTTTCGAATATTGATGGTGTAAAAAAAGTTGCATGATACGAAGCAACAAATATAAGTATCAGCAAAAACGAATTTTTTTGTTACATTATTTCTTTACGAGATATGACACTCGATGGGTGGTATGGAAAGAGAGAACGAACTTTGGACATGAAATTCCAGTTTCGAGAATTCATGTTTTAGAAAATATAGATGCTCCAAACCCTATTAGATGCTGCATTGAATTAACCATAGCTAACTAAATTTGCGAATATTTCGGAATTAATGACCGAACCGACGAGACTGGAACTAATCAAAGTTGGGCATTATTTAAATAAAACGAAATTATTATCGAATAAAAATTTGTTTGTTATTTAGAATACCATTTCAGAGCGAACAACCAAATCGTCGAAACGGAACACTTGTATATATTATTATAGTTTTTTATGTATTTTCAATACTTAACAAAATAACAGGACTGTCACAAGTTAACGTGGACACCCTGTACGTATCATATTCTGTTTTGTTCATTCATCTTGATAGGCACATATCGGATGTACATAGTATGAAATAGTAAAAAGAGAGAAAGAAAAGATGTATCATCAGTCTGTTTTCCGATTACGCCACATTTGATGCGTAAAGCGATAAAAAAGAGTAGAAACATTAACGAGCATGCAAATCGTCGTAACGTCAAACTTTTGATGTATGACAATTGAAAATTTTTGTTGTTTTTCTTTTTATACATATACGAGAAATATCATGTTTGTCAGTTGATTCTATTTGCTAATTTAAACTAGTGCGAGAGTCTTTATCGACTCTATGAATTATGTAAGAACTAGAAACATGTAATCTATATGTATGACATTGACACTGATCAAATTTCTGTATTGTAAGCAATTCTGTGATGTTGCCTGAGCTGATTACACAAGCATTTAAAGAGAAAGAAAATCATGAAATTTATAATGTTAAATTTAATTAGCTGTTTCGCTTCTCACTTAATAAGAGTAATGGTATCTTAAGCAGTGTCATACCGACTATTAAATGTTATCATAACGGCACAATAAAGGAAATAACAAGTGGAAGTATCCCAATGATTATAATTAGTAAAATTAATTAAATGTTTATGAACGAAACTTTGAATCATATAAAATACTTCTACTATAGAAGTAATTAAATTCATGTACATTGTGAAGGGAGATTAATCTTAATGAAATAATGTTGATTCAGCGAAAAAGCTTCCTCAAGATGTGAACCCTAAAGGAGTATTTGCTTGCAACGAACTGGACCTGAAGGAGGTTCAAGTCTATGGATTCGATTACGATTACACGTTGGCTTGTTACAAACCATCCATGGACTACTTGCTCTACAACCTAGGCCGTGACATGCTCATTCAGAAATACAAGGTATAACCTAGACCTAGACGATTCTCTAAACACATTGACTGTCATACAGTAATTGTTGAAATATCATAAAAAGATAATAAAAAAATAGATCCATCGGTTTTTGAAATCATCGGTACTTAACCCTTCTCAAGGCTCTCCCTACGCGCTCCCTAGGTTCTTCCCAGATTCCCCCTAAACGAAAATCAAATAGTGAAAGGCTGCTTCTAATTAGCCAATTGTAAGTAAAGATTTCTAAGCATTGACTAAATAAGAAAATGGCAATGAATGTGTTAAAATGGAGGACGTTGATCTTTCGATCGAAAGAAAATCTCGATATACACACGGGGGGTCTCGAGAAACGGGTCTCGACAAAGTTTCCAAGCACGACTCAACTAATTCGAGCAAACGAGCGAACGAAACTTCGTAACTCGTTTCAGCTCGTCAACGGCGTTTTCTCGAAAATGAAACGACAATTACCACCCGAACGAGAATTTCAATTGAAACTTGACGCAAACTCGTTTAATCGGCTGTACAGTACCCGGAGGGAATCAGCGAGCTCGAATACAAGAAGGATTTCGCTGTTCGTGGCCTCCATTATGACATCGAAAAGGGTCTGCTGCTGAAACTCGACAGCTTTTTGCAAATTCAATTTGGCACCGTTTATCGCGGTTTACACCCGTTGCCCGACGATGAGGTCCTCAGGCTCTACAAAAACAGGATAATACCGATCGCTTACGTCGAAGCGCCTCATAGACACTCTCATGTAAGGATAATTGAATGAATTTACTAAATTGATCGATTGTTTTCGTTGAACGACAGTTTTGGTAACTTGACATTATTTCAACACCCTGCAATTTTCAGTAAAACTTAGAAAAATGTAAAATTATATCTTCTAATATTATATAAAAATATTTCTTTTATGTTTTCGTACAATTTCACAATTTTCCTCGGTTAATGAAAGTTAGCACATTGTTCGCCAATTCAAACAATAGTCTAAAAGCGGTGAAACATTAAAAAAAAGTCTTTTGTTCTCAGCTACGTTCAAACGCATAATAAGTTCGTGAATTATTGAAAAAGTTGAGCATAAAAATGCAAATTAATGACGATGCTTTGAAATACTGAATACTGAAACGTATCTTTGGTCTCTTTTCAAGTGCCGTGTTGTACGCACGTACATGTAATTTTGTATTTAAAATACCCCGTAGATAAACTAGTAAGGGAAAACATTTACAGTAATTTAAGTCTTTTTCTATATTTGTTTGCATGCATCAACATGTGTATTTTTCATGACGGATATTTCCAATATGAAACACAGAAGGCAAGTATCCAAATTGGGTTTCTTTAATTGATACACACATATCTTTTTGTATATAGCTAAACAAAAAATTCTTTTTTTTAGGATACTGTACATCGAACGAAAATGGTACAATTAGCCGATTTATTCTCAGTACCGGAAATGTGTCTTCTATGCAACGTAACGGAATACTTCCTTAGAAATCACATCGACTATCACCCCGAAATACTCTTTAGAGATGTAAAGGTATACAAACTCGATTACCAAATAAATACAATAGATCACCATATAATACAGTACTGTATAGGAATTTACTAATTAAGATGTTTTGTGAGAGAACTATACCTTACCACTGTTTATTTCTGTAGAACTCCGTTCAGAGCTGCCACCCCGTAATGCACGGAATGGTGGTACAAAATGTCGCCGAATACCTGGAACCAAATAAGGATTTAAAACGATTTTTTGATCGACTTAAAAGGGCAAATAAAAGGATGTTTTTAGTAACCAATAGTCCTTTCCATTTTGTGTAAGCATTGTACTTAGCAGAAATTTCATTTAGTATGAAACCTTAGGAATTAATAAAATGTAACGTTATTTTTGTAGGGATACTGGGATGAAGTTTTTAGTGGGAGAAAAATGGAAAAACTATTTCGATGTGGTAATAGTTCAAGCAAGAAAACCGAAATTTTTCACCGAAGAATCTCGACCTCTCCGAATATACGATGAAGTTAACAAAACCCAGTTGTGGGACAGAGTTACGAAACTCGAGAAAGGTGTTATCTATTTAGAAGTAGGTACAATTGTTTCTATTTTCCATTGTTTGAAAGAATAAATGATTAATATTGATTTTAATGTTAGGGTACAGTGAAACAACTGCAGGATATGACCGGTTGGCGAGGACAACAAGTATTATATTTTGGTGATCATCCTTATAGCGATTTAGCAGATGTAACTTTGGAACATGGTTGGCGAACTGGTGCCATAATTAAAGAGTTAACGGTAACATTGTAGCTCGTATTTATTACGACTTTTCTTTTTAATTAGATCGAAGTTATTTATGAATCAAGGTTGAACAAAATATTTCTCGTTATGATAAATGAAACCGGTAGATCAAGTTGAGAATTTTATATTGCAAATTATTGCAATATATTTCATATGTTACAGCATGAAATTACAACCTTAAATAATCCAAAGTTCAAAGAACATGCTAATTGGTTGCAAATGTTAACTGGACTGATCGAAGATCATCAAGATTATACAGGGCCGGAGGTGAAGAGTGTACTAGAAGAATGGATGAAAGAAAAGGAACAATTGAGAAACAATATAAAACGAGTGTTTAATGAACAATTTGGATCTGTATTCAGAACGTATCATAATCCTACATATTTTTCGAGAAGGCTTTTTAGGTTCGCTGATATTTATATGAGCTCAATTACAAATTTATTAGAATACTCAACACATCATACGTTTTATCCAAGAAGAGGCGTGATGCCGCACGAATATACAAGTTATTTCGTATAATGTATAGGTCTATGTTTAAACATGTAACTAGATTATGTTTTCCTTCAAAACGTGTTCAAATCTAGAGGAGCAAAAAATCAGAAATTTAAAATTAAAAAAAAAAAGCGCATTTTCAATTTATGTAAATAAAAAGAGAATGGTAGACTGTTTAACGTACTAGGAAAAATATGCAGTGATATTTTGTTCAATAGTATTTTGTGTAGATAAAACGTATACGTATTAATCATTCTATCATTACGAGAGCGTATATGTAAGTTCTTCGAGAACATAATTATTAGGACGTATATACACGCTCTTGTAAACGCATTGTTAATTCTGAAAACCAAATAAGTATTAATAATTAATTAATTAATACTCACAAGAAATGTTAACTAAGTGTTCAACCCCTTTGATTTTCAAGTAACTTGAATGTGATGTAGCAGGGAGCGGATTCGGAGGAAGGTGATGGGGTGATCTCCCTTTGAAATATTAAAAAGATTAATTTATATTGTTTTTGCTTAATTCTTAACTTTTTTAATAAAACAAATTATTTGATCTAATTAATATAAATTTATCGAGCCACTAGCGGATGAAAATATAAATAAATTTCAAATGGTGCCAAAAAAGATTGAAAAATATACCTTTACATATCCCTCCCCAAAGCAAGACTTCTAAATTTATTTTTGTGATGTGGTATACCTATATTCGAAAAAATATTCTACGTGTATTTTTTTAGTGGTGAAGGTTCGCATCTAAGGGGAGAAAGAACTTATCTGTAAAAAAATATGTCGAATATTATAAAAATGCTTCCAGAGTATACGTACAAAATGATATAAAAATGTATGTATAAATTATTCAAATATATTTAAACAAATGTTAGAGATACAGTATTTACATAAGATTCTCTCACACTCATGCAAACGTAACACGCACACAGCACTGTTCTACGTTTACCAACATCGAATACAGGCCACTTCATGGTCAGTAAGTAAATATACTACATATTATCCATATTTGAATCGTGCGTCTGTACTCGATGAGAATTATCGAAAATGACTTTCGTTATATTTATGCGGGACCTAATCATCGTACAGTTTCAAGCTAAACTCAATGATCCACAGCCCGCTTTAACATTCGGATGGCAGTGTCACCGCCATACATCCTATGGGTTTAACTTTGTTTACTAAATTGCAAGAGTTTAATCATGACTTTCGTCTCGTGTATTAATTAGTAAGAAATTTATACACAACAAAATATTCGCGTCATTGAAAATCGATTATTTTATGTTCAGTCTGCATCAACTATGTTTTTTTTCCATTAATTATTCTCAGTAAGTCAATCACTTGAAATTATAATCCATTTATTCGGTACAAATTATTATAAATAACGTATTAAATTATGTGTACGTGTTATTTACACTATATATAATTCTCATTAAAAATCCAATTGAATACTTCGATTATACTCGAAAATACGGAAAGAGAAAAGCAAATACTCTATTGTATTTCTTCTTTCTTTTTTGCATCTTCGAATGCAAATAAATGCCAGTAACTACATGATCAAGTTACCGACTGGCAAAACAATAAGATCGTTACCCCGTTCAAACAATTTAATTGTTTAATAATGCATTTAAGATATATTTTAGTTATTTATTGGTCGCCTCTCTGACTTACTGATTGATTGACAGTATACCGCGTACAGTCTTTTAATTTCATGCAGATGCAAGACGTATGACTACCGACGAGGTAGATTAGCAAAATGAAATTCCAGCTAAGGTAGCAAAAACCACGTCGCATATAAAGCGACATTATGAAAATTTCATAATTTTACTTGGGCTAATATCGTGACGATGAAGAAATGGCTAATTAAAATGGAACTTAAATTGGAAGGGAGAACCATGGAAGTGATGGAATTCTTGGAAGGGATTGAAACCTTGCTGATGCTTGCCCGATTCGGGATCTAACGGATCTTCTCCTTGGTCAAATTTTGCTCTCTTTTCATCATCAGTCAGTACTTCTTTGGCAGCTGCAATGTCAATAAATCTTTTTTCCGCTCGTTTCTTTTCTTCTCCCTCCTGAAAATTATCAGGATGCCACTTTTGCGCAGCCTTTCGGTACGCCTTAATAATGTCACGTTTTGATGCTGTTCTTGGCACACCTAAAATTTTATAGTAATCTCGCGACTCGGACAGTTTTTGTCTTTGTTGTGCTTTGTGAAGACCTTGCTTGGCTCGTTGTAGGCTTGGATCGATTTCTAAAGCTTCCTTGAAATCTCTAATTGCTGTTTAAATAGGGAAAAAAGAGGAAAAAAATGGTATCATATTATATTAATTTTAGAAACAGTTTGTGCACATTTTACGAATTATAAGTTACCATCATCAAACATTTCGGCAGCTAGATACGCTTCGGCGCTATCACAATATACTCCGGGTTCCTTCCGTATTTTTAATGCCTCCTGACAATTCTTGACTGCTTGACTCGGTTCTGAATTACCAGTATAGCATTTACATAGAAGTTGATGAACGATAAATTGTACATTGGCTACATTTGGTTCAAGTTTCAACACAGTTTGAGCACTCTCTATACATCTGTCATAATCTCTTGCATCTTCAGATGACTGTGCATCTGTTAATAATTTTGCTATTTTCTTAACTTTCTTGTAAAATGCGAAACATTTTGAATGATCTGGATCAAGTTTCAAACATTCTCGAATTTCCCTGAACATATAAAATATTAAATTCCGTGATTTGCAATGTGAAATAAATTATTTTTCCTATTTTACTTTTACTCACTTTAATGATTCATCCACTTGTCCAAGACGGTAATGTAAAGTTGCTAGTTTTAAAAATCCTTGTGTGTTATCAGATTGTAATTTAGTTGTAGAACGCACATCAGAGATGGCACTAATGTAATCTTCAAGAGCTTCGTAACATTCAGCTCTACGTTCCCTTAATTCAGCAGACCATGGGCATACTTCAATAACTTTAGTAAGTAATTGTGCAGCTGCCGCATAATCCCCATTTCTCGTTAATCTGTCTACAATTTTTAAATCTTCTTGCACAGGTGCTATTTTGTACATGGCATTTAAGGCATCTGTATTATATGGTTCAACTGCTAGCTATAAGAAATCAAAAATAATCAATTTCAATCTGATAAATTTACATATTTATAATTTGACTCTTTTTTCATATAACACAAAACTATACTTACCACATCTCGAAAATCAGCTTCTGCTCTGCTGAATTCAGCTTGTTTAAGTAATATATTACCACGTTGTAATCTTGCAGAAGTAAAATCAGGCTTCAACTCCAAAACTTTATCAAGATCAAGAAGTGCAAATTTGGCTTTACCTAATGCTAGATATACTGTGCCTCTTTTATAGTATGTCAAATAATTATTTGGATCTCCCTCTAAAATAATATGTCAAAATTTTCATTATAATAAAATTTAATGACGATTCGCGCTTCCTTGTACATTTAGTATTAAAATGAATTATTGAAAAAGCGAATTAAAGTAAATGATTACAAACAGAACTTACCAACAGCTGCATGATAATGTGACAATGCATCTTGCAACTGGCCCTTTGCTAAAAATTCTCTACCTAATTCCAAATGTCTGTCAATTTCTAACTGTGATACGCTCCCAACAACTGAAATTCAAACTCATTAAATATTACGGTATAAAATATAAATTATATCAAATATATTACAGGTTAGAATCATTTACCATCTAAAGATAGATCTAATAAGACCAATAATATACCACAGTGGTACATGACTGAATAAAAAATTGAGCCACGGTAATATGAACGTTTCAATAAATAAGAAAACAGACTTGCTGGTTTTATAAACCACTACTTAACCACCCGATAACACAAAACTGTTCAGCCACGCCGCCATTGCGATCGTGGTCTTACACGATTGGTCCAAGTTAGTCCAACAAAATTGACTCACCAATATAGGTGCCTAAGATGTACTATAAAACTAGATATTGTATGTACAGCATCGAGCAAAGTAAGTTTCCCTAGGGAAAAAGTGACGTTACAGTGTCTCTACTAACAATACGAATATCTACTTATATTTTTGTTTGGCAATCCTCAACATTTTTTTAAATTTTAATTACAGACTTGTAATTAATAATATGCAATTGCATATTTGTCCTACTTACTTATAAATACTAAGAATACTTGCCTATGCAAGTGCTCCTAATTATGTTAAAAATTCACTTGAATCTAAAATTTCCTAATTTAACACCGCAGTGTTTAAGTTTAATTAAATACTACAAACTGCCTATATAAAAATTTAAAGCGATATAAATAAATACACATAATGAATTTGTTGATCTGATCGTTCTTACCAGAATACTTTCTGAAACAAACTAAAATGGATTAGATATCATTTAAAAAAATAATAAGGTTCATATAGCGGTTTATCATTTCGAAAAATGATAAGGTTCATATTGTCCTAATGATAAATTTACAACCTGCCTACATAAAAATCTAGAGACATTAATGAATACATGTACCTAATGAACTTATTGATTTCCTTGTTGTTATCGAGACACTTCCTGAAACAAATCGCAAAAGATTAAATATAATACAATTATCGAATATAACACCGTCCAGATTCTACGATTTGTAAGAATCATTTCCCCTTTTCAATCATTTTCATCTCATCTTACTTAGCTGGATTTGTTGAATTCCATCTTTCGATTATAGATTTTATATTGTTGTATATCTTCCAGTCTTTTATTCAGATTATCAATTCATACTTGCTATAAAGATACTTCTCTGTAACAGAAACTCATTAATTGAATCCATACAAAGACAAAAAATCTAATGGCTGAAAAGAAGATGCATTAGTACACATTACATTTTACAAAAATCGGAGTGGATGTTAATAACTCAAAATCAATTTGATACGAAATATGAATTAAAAGCAAACTTCACTACCAAAATAAATTGAAAAAGATTTAGAAAAATATATATTTGAGTTAAGTGATTTGAGTTAAGAACATTAATTATTTCATTTTATTGTATTTAATATTCGCTCATTTCGCAACGAATAGTACACAATATTGTAATTGAAACAACTGTCTTTTACTGCAATATACGTACAACCATGACTCTACTTGACTTTATTGCATTATATTATTCAATACACCTTTCAATGCAAATTTATTGTAAATGGAAAAACTGAAAAGAAAATCGCGAGTGGACTTTACAGGAAAAGAATTTGAAAATTTATAAAAGTAATTTAATTAGCTTTTCCGTAAGCTTGAAACGAAACATCGCGATCAAAAATTAAAACTGAACAATTCGAATAACAATCATCCGCTACTTTTGTTTAATTAAAGTAGAATTAAAATTTAATAAGCTATTTCAAATGAACAAATATTTCTTGAAATAATTTATCACCAATCATCACAAAATAAAATGAACTTTCATTTTAAATAAAACTTTGAATAAAGTTCTATTTAAACTTTATCGTATTTAATAATATTCTGACAACATTAAATTCATATATTATTTAACAGTATTTCCAATAACCGAATGCTCAAAATTTTCAAAATTAAAAAATGGGAAGAAAAAGAACGGGGGCGTAGCAGTGGGAGGGAGGGTACAGGGGAACCTGAAAAGAAAAGTTTGACTGCTCATAAGAGCAATCCCTAAGCAAACCCTATAAAACAAACCGAAATCACACACAACACTAATTTTAAAATTGCAAACATTCTGAACTATGACAAAACATCAGCTGGCAACGAAGGGTCTCACGCCCCCTAGACTTACGCCAGACGCTACATACCACCCACCCCGCCTGGACGTCGTAACGCCAGGACAAAGTGCACCCCTTCGCTAAGAGCGCTACCCGCCCGTCCAACACGTTGCATCCAACGGTGTCAGATTGACGGACGCCCATAGTATAGACAAAAGGACTGCAGTTTAGAATATGATAACATATTTTCATATGTTCCGTATTCTAAAACTGCGCCTGCAAAGGCCTAGTAATGCATGGGTATATCTCCCAGAGATGGTGTTCACGGTCTTATGCCGCGGAATCCTTGACTAGCAATGGATTCCCACCGAATGTGAGTCATAGTTACTTCCACTAATTTAATAAATGCAAAAAAGTAAAAAATTTAATAACAATCGCGAATTCAGTCGCAACACTAATTTCATTAATTATATAATATGTACAAAAGCGTACGCGTGAAGGCTGCTCGATTATGCGCAACGCTAAGCTGAAAAAAAGAGAAAAAGAAAAAACGCGAACTGTAACGCAACACTACTCAAATCTACCGAATTTTGTAAGACGCAACACTAATCTAAAAAAGGGGTGTAGCCAATCCAAGGCTGTATCACGGCAGCTGATCCATAGCTGCCTTATGGACCATGGCAAATCCACTGGATCGGTTTTGGGCATTTCATCATATATCGCAACACTAATGCAAAACGCGAATATTCATTACCGCAACACTAATTAGCAGGGAACTCTATAAACTAATGCAAAGCAATCGCGTATTTGTAAGTCGCAACACTGGGAAACAATCGCGTTAATATCATTCGCAACGCTATATTTAACAGACATGCAATTAAAATGCAAAAAAGGGGATTCTCAAACCGTGAATTTTTTACTCGCAACACTAAAGCAATCAACATTAAAAAGCAAAACTCTCAAAAATCTTAAAGCAATCAACATTGAAAAGTTAAATTCTATTTTAAAGCAATGCAAAAAAGAAACGCGATATTTAAAGTTCGCAACACTAAATGAAAATCGCGATAATCATGCATACGCAACATTAAATTGAACCGTGATCGATATTCATTCGCAACACTAAATTGAACCGTGGTCAATATTCGCAACACTAAATTGAAAACGCGATTTGCCCAAAATCATGGGAGTCACGGGCCCCCTCTTCTCCTGAAATTACAAAACTACAACTACAAGCGAGCACAGTGACAAAGTAGTAACGATAATGATTTCCCATCCTTTTTTGCAAAAGGATGGAAAATCATTAATAGTTCCCCTCTTGAAAGACAGTTTGTCGGGGCGCTTCGGCATATAGCCTTTTCTTTCTTCGGGCGGTCCACCCACCTGAAATTTATATCTAAAGCTCGAGACTTGCAAATTCGCAAAACAAAAAAAAAAACAATCAACAAAAAAGAAAAATCGCGAAACTCTAATTGACACGTGGACGAAAAAGGACTTTATATAAGTCGTTGTTCGTGCACACGTGCCATGCTCGAGCAGAACTTGTGCGGTTCGTACAATCGCGATCGCGTATGACGACTTATGAAGTCGCCAACATTTTGAAAAATTGTACAGATAGAATCGAAGACAAACGGCATACTCCGTTCGTATCGATGGTATCGTCAATTCTTCAAATATATTCCAGGTACAGGTTGATCACGCGAAATCGCGCCTACCCGACCAAGAGACTGTGACAACCTGCCCCGGCCCTACCTACTTACAATCTATCACACACATCAGAAGGTATACTACCTACCTACCTAACGCTATATTTAAAAAAGGCAAAATCACATTCTCGCAAAAATTCATTCCACGACCCCCATACACTCCACCCGGGCGCAAGAGCCTAAACTAGGGAGAACGTCCCGGGACGCCTCCGTCACCCGAGTTTCATCTCACATCACACTCTAAGGTACGTACCATTTTTCACTGAAATCGTCTGGCAAGGCTAGCAATCATTGCGTATAATGATAATTACAAAATTTAATTAACTACTTGGATATAGAATATTTCATAATAATGGTAATAATCATGGTAATAGTAATGGCAATATAGTAACAGTAACGGTAATAATATTATTTGGTTTATATGTTCATCATACATTTTGTTGAATAAAATATTATTTCAAATTAAAAGAAATGAAAAAGTTACTAAACCGACGCAATCCCACAGCCTAAAAACACACACACCATATGTGGAAATTACGTCGTGCACGATATACTAACACAATGCCAGCCGCTTATTAATTATTATTCTTATGAACTAGGTCATCGTGCCCATTGCCTCTACCCATCCAAGTAGCACCTGGGCACGTGAATGGGCTTTGGCAATAAACACGGAAGGGATTAAACCTGAAAATCCTGATCTATAAACATGATTAGTACATAAACATCTAACGGGCTAATATTTCACTATTTTAATAAAAGTGACTCGACTTTGTAAATATAAAGCTTTAAGAACAAATACTGAAAAGTAAAATAGAGCAACTATGACGCAAACATGGTGCACTGCTAATATCAGCTGGCAACGAAGGGTCTCACGCCCCCTAGACTTGCGCCAGACGCTACATACCACCCACCCCGCCTGGACGTCGTAACGCCAGGACAGAGTGCACCCCTTCGCTAAGAGCGCTACCCGCCCGTCCAACACGTTGCATCCAACGGTGTCAGATTTGCGGACGCCCATAGTATAGACAAAAGGACTACAGTTTAGAATATGGTAACATATTTTCATATGTTCCGTATTCTAAAGCTGCGCCTGCAAAGGTCTAGTAATGCATGGATATATCTCCCAGAGATGGTGTTCACGGTCTTATGCCGCGGAATCCTTGTAACTAATTTGATTAATTAAATAATACATAGGATTGAGATTAAAAACCAAAAGGATTCCCACCGAATACTAGTCAGTGCATCGTCATATTTACTCTCGCGTCGAAAATTTCTCACAACACTAATTTAATAAAGGCAAAACTCTAATAAAAAGGAATTTAATGTAAAAATTTAATTTTATATTTTATTAAAAGCAAAATGACTAATTAGGTTTACAATGAAAAAAGGATTTATTATGAAAATTAATAAAAAAATTAAAACATCCTCGGGCGACTCCCTCCTCAGAGTAACTTTTCAAAAATATGCAAAATGTGTTGAAATAGATCACTCTGACTTGGAAATCTACCCGTCACGAATTGTCTTCTTGCACATAAATTGTTCAATTTTTCAACGTGTAAATAAGCGAAATTTCGATTTAGAATGAATGCAATTTTACTACTTGTAACATATTCTCAAACTATATTTGAATGTACATTGTACAAAATGTAATTAAATCAATGTAAAAGAATCATTAATATGTATATCCAGTATACATATTATATCACCAATATTATATTGATTTGATTCTTTGCAATAACTAAATCAGATGGTATCTGACTTCTTCGTTAAAGAAAAAATAAATAAAATTCTTTCTGTATTAAAATAATTCATATTCCACATTTTACTATAAAATTGTAACATTTAAAAGTATTCATATATTTCATAAATATTTATTGGAATATGTGGAATTGAAATGATATTAAAACGCGGAGTGCAAGAAGACCTAGCCTGAGTTAAATGAAATGAAGCACAATAAAAATGTTACTACTCATGGGTATGTATAATCATACCCATGGTCACTATGCTCGCCAACCACGTATACAACCAGTAACCCGTGTCGATTCGGACCATTCGTCCTACGACATGAATGGGCACCGGAGGAACCATAAAACATGCGACTCACCGTTCGCAGATATACTCTTCTTCCGACAGTCAAGTAGGAGGATGCACAATAACCAGGTGGGAAGATGCACAACAACGAGGTAGGGGATTGCCTGAAGACGGAAGTCGTAAAGAAAGCCATCAGGATGTCCAGCAACTCGGCAAAATCAAAAAATTCATCTGTAACAAAACAAAAAAGAATTACGGTTAATTTTGCAAATTATCAATTTTTATTCTAATAAAATTATATATAAGTTTCAATTTTATAAAGTATTAGCAATTAAAAAAAACTCTCAATTATCAAGTTTTGAAATTGTAAATTATTCTATTTTAATTAAAAGCAATTAAATAAAGTAATAAGATACTTACACTCTTTCCTTGTGGAGCATCGCCCAAGACTCCTCTTCAGTGGTGCCGTGACTCTAATACCGGAGATATCGAGCAATAAAAAAAAAATGGAAAATAAAAATAAAGATATAAAATACTAGTAACCCGACCGTGAATAATTTTCGGCGAACAATTGTGGAAATTCTACTTTCGCGATGGAGAAAAGTAAATCAGAGCCCCGATGCTCTAGAAAATATTTTATAACACGCAGCAAACACTGACTCTACTATCGCGTGATTCCTAATTGTACAAATGCAACTCTATTCAGGGCCAGTTCACCCTTGACAAAATTAAAACATTGAAAGTATGTACGTACAAACACTGACTCTACTGACCGCCTTGCGCGCGGCCACAACAATTCCTGGAAGAAAAGATTAGCATGGAGGTTGGGGATGGGTGGAAATATGTATACAAAAACAACATTCTTTCTACTGAGCATTCGTTAGGGAAATACTGTTATTAATGGAAGTATCAGTGTTCTTGAAATGTCTTAAACGAACATGTATATTATAACATAATTACTACGACTTAAAAAATATAGTGTTTAAAATAATTAAATAATTGCAGAACAGAAGCAATCATTTGCAGTAGAATACGAACTATTTCAATTTTGTTCTAATTTAAAACAAATGCATTAAATTACTATACGAAATTATATAATAAAATGAAAAATTAATTATTCCTTTTCTATTAATTGTTCAAGCAAACAAAATTTTTTAAATCTTTTCTTTTTTGACCGTGGTACCAATTAATTATCAAAAATGCTTAGAATTAACAATGACAGAGTAAAAAGAAAATAACAATAAATATTACTAATTCAGTGCAATAAATAGAAATGTTACCAATTCTTTACGAAGTTGTATTGCAAACCAGTCAAGTGTCATGGCGTCCTTTAAATAGCAACAAAATATCTGCAACAAATAAGAAATACAAGTTTATGTACGTAAAATTTAACCAAAAGCGAAGCAATTATGATTAACAAACGATCAAACTCTGTAATTTATGCAAAATATCACAGTAGATAACCTACGCGTACCTATGTATATATTACTCGTACGGAAGCACGCTCTCAACACGTCTGACAATTTTGACGTTCGCGAAAGGAATGACGCGACCTTTCCTACGAAGATCGTCGGGATTATTCGGTGTGTGTCGTACCGAAATGTGGAGACGAACAGATCTCATAACATTACGATTCTCAAGAAAGAACGTTATTGAATTCTCAAAACGCTTAAAATAATCAAGTAAGACAATCAAAATAATGCTGTTCCAACCTCAATGTGAATTCGCGACAAGAGTAAAACATTTCATCTCACCCATATTTGAAGACAGTGCGGAATTGATGTCAGAAGTCATAAATCTTCAACTTCTCCTTCTGTTTTCTGTTCTTCTGATATCAGCAATACAATTTAATACAATATTGAAATAAAATTTGATTTCACTTATTGCAAACACGTGCACTCAAGACGAAGTTTCGAAGAAAAATGACGCCGTGAGTTCGACCTGCGCACATGACCAGGGAGCGATGATGCTGATTGGTCGAAATTGAATGGCAACTGCGATTGGTGGAAATAAAAAATTGTTAGTAACATACTATTTAATGTAATTTTAAACTTTAATTATTTATAATTAACTAATAAATAAAGAGAAATATTAATTTAATATGCATATCGGGGCTAAAGGATAATTATATAAGCCAGGGGTGGGCAATTGTTTTGGCTCGGCCACTTTGTGGAAGCGGAGGGCCGCACCTTTTATAATGATTGCATTCATTTTCAGAAAGGTATAAATTGTACCATAAAAATCAATAAATATAAATTCAATAAAATAGTGGCAGTTTTATTCAATTTATTTAAATACGAAACGAATTTTCCGTCGCGCATGGAAAGGAAATCTCGGTTCAAAGCAGATTTTTCTGATTGTCTTGGCGGGCCCCAAAAAACTTCTTAAGGGGCCCCTATTTGCCCACCCCTGATATAAGCTATCTTATACATAATTTTTATATATTAAAATTTTAATTGAAAAATTTAATTTAAATTTGCGTAAATATATTTAATATATTTTATAATTAAGATTTAAGATTTTACAGGAAATATTTGTTTTAAAAAAATTTTATTTCATATATGTGATTTCATATTATCGCGGTAAAAGTTATGCGGAGACGCCATCTTGAGTAATGAATGCTTATGCGTCGACCATTTACCCGGAGCAAGTCGAACTGACGTACCTGTGGTGGAAGATTTTTCGTGAAATTATTCAAAATTATTAAAAAATTAGTGAATTTAGATAGTGTTTTTTATGTGTATCAATTAGACGTGTCTTCAGTTCTTGGTGGCTGATAAAGATTACGTACGTAATGGTGAGTCTTAATCTTACATCAACTAACAACTGCTTGCAATCCATTTCTCCCGAATAATCTGTTTTCCTTTTCAGAAAAGAGAAAAACCTGATATCAACGAATACTTTATTAATGTTTATTTTATTTCATTTGCAGCGAAAATTTGGACCCCGGTATCTTGGTTATAAGTCGTACAATTTGAAACGACGCTTGTCGGCGATGGCTTTTGGAGGTTATACGTACTGCGACTAGAGGGCTGTAACAGTACTGATTGCTCCGGTTGGTGAGTCGCATGTTTGTTCATTCATTTAATATTCCATAACACATCATATTGAAGTAATTAACCAACTGCATCTCTAATGTTAATACAAATATAATTTCGAATGCCGTTAGAGCAATGTCTAAATTTTAACATTGCTTAACATGGATGGGTAAAGTCATAGTATTGCCTGTTGATCGTATAGGTTTCTTATTCAGACTCATAGCTGCTGGTAATGCAGACATTATCCGACAATTGATGTAAAAGGGAACGGTGATTTTCATTGACATAATATTACTATTAATCGATAAAAATTTAACAACAATAACATTTAAAAATTTACCAAAACAATATCTTGTTTATATACAAATGTAATGATGCAATCGTTCCAAAAATTGAAAAGGCATTCTTATTTCTGAATAATTTTCATTACGTGTTGCTTGTTCAGTAAATCTACGGTATTTATTATTATATCTGCAGCTTTTGTTAAGACTGTGTTATCTTTTTGGCTTTATGTTTTAATTACATTATTACATTACATTAATTCTACATAATTACATTAATTCTGATACGAAGTAATTAAGTCGTGATATGATATATAGAATATGCAAGAACCAGAACCAGAATCAGAAACATAAAAACTTTACGAGAGGATTCCTTACTTTAACGAGCACGTGTATACTTTATTCGCGTTCTTTATTCTCGCTAAGGTAAACGCACGTAATCGTTGGAAGGTAGATCCTTATATTCCCTGTATCACGGTTTTGTTACGAGCCTAACATTAACTCGTAAACGATCTATCAAAAGGATACTAGCGCTCGTATTTCCGTGCATTCGCTGGAAACGCTTGTGCATCGAGCCCTCTGAAACGACTAATAAACGATGTGTTCCATGAATCTCTGTCTTCAATCCACACGTAAATTTTCAAAAGCCTGCGAGCTACTATGAATTCATCTAACTACAAAGCGTAGAGTTTATCCGCGTACGTTAAAGATCTTGATGAATACCATATACACAAAATTTATTCAGATACACATTTTATTAGATATTTAAGCTAGTCTAATGTTTCACTTAAAACAGATATCTATCTCCACGCAGTATATCATTTTATTATCCTAATTGCAAAATTATAGTAGCAATAAACTATTCCTTCGCTCATTTGCAAATCAAAAGCATCGAATACCGAATGTTCATGTTGAAATCCTAAATACCGGATCTCTTGAATATTAATACTCGCAAAGTGATATTAAATACAGCTATATCTTGTGCAAAATCTATGTCGCGTTGCAAAAAGTTGATTACCTTCAGCGTCTTGAATAAGTTTCTTAATTTATTTGGCTAATAATGCCTAATAATTTTCAAGAAAATTCCTATCAGAAATGAATGGCTATCGGCTTGTAATCAAATTAACTTTCTCTTTTTAACGATACAGCTTTCGATACTCTATTTTCATGCCCCCCTTTGGCCAAGTGCCTTCACAAAATCAAAGGGTGAACGAATTCCATGCCCGCCAATATATATAGACTCTCGATTCGTAATCGAACGCATAAATAAACAAATGCAATTCCCTGTGTTGCGTGTACCGTGTAGATCTTTGCAGGCGTGTTCAGGAGGCCGCTCGTTTCGGCTCGTGTGCGTGGCTGGTCTCCGAAGCTGATTCGAGTTAGCCACACGCCGAGGAAATCAATCACGTCGCACGCACTCGGCACACATGCCGTTAATGTGCACGCGGGACCACCAGCTACCGGGAGAGAAGGGCCCAAGGATTAGGGTGCGTTTCCGTTTCGAGGATAATTACTCGGCGTGTCGGCCGCGTCTCTGATCTCTGCCAGAGGAACGATCGCGCTCTAAATAGGTAGTCGCTTCTGTCGGGTAATCAACAGTGACGACGACAGAAGTAAAACGAACGAATTCATTCGTGAATACTTTCGGTGCGTCTGGTTGTTAGATCAGTATCCCTTTGATTTTTAAATTAAGAGTCTATTAATACATCACGATGTTCTAAAGATCGTCTCTAAAAGATTGACCGAGTGTAATGCTATAATACTAATTGGATTAGTATTCGTTTGATCTTGAAATCGCGGATTTATTAATACACCATGTTAGGTGGAAGGATTTCTTTCGAATCTTTTCTATTACTCTGCTTCACCACACCCAGCTATTTTTTCCGGTCTGTAACAGCTTAGCAATTCGAGCACGTCCAGAGGCGGAGTCAAGAGGCGTAGCCTTATTCGCGTCAGTCAGGTACCTTGATTGTCGTACGAGTTAATTAGAATGTATTTTAAAATCTTTACGCGCCTTCCGAGACGATTTCTTCCATACAATTATATCAGCGGCACCGAGAAACCAATTACGTATTCTTTAACGTCTCGAATCCCGTCGAAAAGGTTCAAATATTTCGCGCGTATCGTTCAAGAGGATCTACCGGGACGGAAGCAATTTTCCAGCGCCATCATGCGTAACGCTAACATTTCTGTTAAAGTTCTTCTTCTACCAGGGTGTATTTTTTTCTTTCCTTTTTAGTGAATTCACACCGTGAAATAAGGTTTCCTTCTGTTCATCCGCGGCACTGGTTTGCTTTAATCCTGCGATATATACTCTATCGCTGGCGAGAGCTCGATTTTATGCTTCTTCAATTATCCGAACTGCTATTACACAAGATCTTCATTATTCGATGGATCAGAAACGTTCGAGGTGTTCTGCGATTGTAACAGGACGTGTTAATTAATTCTTTCAGCGGGCTCGTTAAACGGAACGACGCGTTAATTTAAAGTGTCCTCGAAATACAATCTTTTCATAGACGTAACAAAGTTACTTTCTTCCTTTTTCGAAAAAAGTAGATGTGTGCTACTTGTTGATACGCTACGGTTCCAAGGTTGTAATTGTATAAAGCGCAACCTTTTGTTGAAGCGTTTCCACACACGCTCGAAAGATCTTCAGAAAGCTCAACGCCATTCTCGAGTCATCGCAAAGAGATTCTCCAGAGCAGTACGGCAATTTTCCAGCGCCGTCAGCCGTAAACGTTAACATTTCTGATAAAGTTCAGACTGGCGCTAGCTCGACGACGCGATCTCTTTTTTTCCTTCTTCTCTGGAGTCATCCAGGCTGAAGCCGTGACAATGGAGCGTATCGATTCTCTTCTCTCGTTCGTTCGTCGGTGCGCCAGGTGGTTGCTACACCGTTCGAGGAAATCGCTCGACGGAATAGAAAGCTCGACGAGTGCAAGTGTGAGGAATGCAGTTGCTCCAGTAATTATCGAGCGACGCGTACAGAGCGTGTCAGCTCTCTAAAGGATTAATTAACTCGTTCTGGCCGCTGGGCACCGTCTCATTATGTCCATCTACGAGCTACGCGCCCGACGTATTTCCACGATTTACCTAGCTAGCCAAGTTCAACCCTGACATAGTCGTATCACCTGTCTCGCGGTAGGATGCACTGAAAATTGCGAATAGCCCGCATTTCGTTTATCCTTATTCCCGCATCGTGCTTATCTATGGATAGAATCACTTTTCCTTTTCTCTCGAGGAAAACGCGAGAGTATCAGTGAATCAGATGACCCACAGTTTTCTACACATTTGCTTCTTGCTCGCTTTCCTCGTGTCAGCAGCATTTCTTTATTTGTTCGTGTGTTAAAGTTCACTAAACGTCCGTCCCTTCTTGGCTTTCGTCACGTTTATGCGTTTCCTTTTTTCCCTCCACCGTGCAACATGCGCCGTGAAATGCGTTCCGTACGCGCAAATTTCAATTTTAAATACGCTGCCGGCTCGCGTGTCTACAGAAAAGATCCGGTGGCACAGGTAACAGAGGATAAAGGAATAAAAAAAGGGTACGAGGGGACGAGTAGGCCGCGATTACGGTTTCTGGTTTGATTAAAAGGCCATCTCGTCCAAGCGATATTGATTTTGGCCGATGCTTTTAAAGTGACTACCTGGCCCACGAATTAATGTAAAAGGGTTCGTGAGAGGGAGGAGGAGGTTGCATCAGGACACGGTAGATTTTTCATGAAAATTAACCAGCCGATGTCATTTTTCCCCCTCTCGATAGGAATTCAATTTCTGGAATGTCTCATGATATTATTTAGCCAGACTATACTTCGCGTGCTAGGATCCCATCAATGCGCGATCTCTATGATTCATTTTTTAATTCGATCCGCGTTAAGCCGGGTTTCAAAGATTAAATAATATTAAACTGAGACGTTAATATAATCCTTAAGCATGTAATCTTTAATAACTAAGCAGGACCGATTATTTCACAGAAAATATTAGAACCAATATGTATTTTCCCCAAGCATCAATGTCAACCCCAATTTCATCCCTTAAATGCAGGTGTTTCGAATCGACGGACGAGCAAGAGAATTTAGATCAGCAATCTCGACGAACTGAATTCGCGAGTGGAGAGATCCGCTCCAGTTGCGAGCCGCGCTTTTCACGCTTCTCGGCCACGACACGGCATCGCGGACGAGCGTTAAAGGGGATGAAACTAGGCGCGTGACACAGATTTAGATAAAACTGTCGTAGTCGAAACCCGTGTCCAGGCTTAAGCACGGAATTATAGAATTAGAATCGACGATCGCGATATCCGTTTATCGTGCTCCAGCACTGGCCTCGCTTCGAGGGGTCGATATTTTTTTTCTTCCTGTCCCTGAATCGACGAAAAGGAACGAGGGTAAAGCGCGGGTTAGGTGAGCCGTGATCGAACCCGGGTCGAAACGGGGTACCGAGAGGGGAGGTTTCGAGAAATAAATCCGCTCATGCTCGACGTACACGCGCCGCCAGGAACGACGTCCGCTAGTACGTACACCCACGGGATTTCCATAATTTGAATTGTAAAAGTATTCGGGCGCCAATTGCAGCCTCCGAATTTATGCAGTCCGCCCCCGTGCCGGCTATCCGTTCGCGACGCCCCTTGAGGGAGACTTCACACGGCGCGGAATATCGACGTGCACGCGTGTACTCTCGTCTTGTGGCCTTTTAAAGAGACCGTCGTTTGATGTCTGAAATCGTCGGATAGAACTGAGATCTTCA